TTTCTTTCTTTCTTCTTTTCCTGTCAATCTTTTGGAGCCCTTCTTGTTATTCAGAGCAAGACCACCTGTTCCTTGGGGATCTGGCTATTGTCTGGCGTCGATTCACAGTTAATTTACCATCCCATAATAGACGAGTTGGCCATTGTCCCGGGACAAGGGTGAGGATTGGACAAGAGTGTGGGAAACGCCAAGGCTGGCCGAACCCAGGCTTTTGAAAGACAGCGCCGGGGTATAAAGAGACGCTCTCCGTTTCCCCCACTGCACTTAACAAGCCAGAGATTGGCTTGGAATGCTGGCTTGTGCTGGCTGCGCGGCCTTCTCCCAGGACACCCCAAAGGAAAAGAGCCTGTAAGTATCTTATTTGTTTATTTTTCCCTCCTTTTTTCCATCTGGAATCCTTCTGAGTTTGACTTCTGACGTGGATTCAGAAGGGAAGAGAGAGAGAGAGAGACAGTGGGGTCTAATTTTTCTCCCTGTGCTTCTTTCTGGGGCTGCAAGTAGCCAGGATGGATGGAGGGAAGCCATGATGACACAGAAGCCAGCATGGGAAAGAAGGATGAGAAAACGACTTCTGCAGACACCACTTTGAGAGCTGAGAGCTGAGCCCCCAAAATACAGCCATGGTGAGTGTACACCTGATTATTTCTTCTCTTTCTTTTCTTTCTTTCTTTCTTTCTTTCTTTCTTTCTTTCTTTCTTTCTTTCTTTCTTCTTTCTTTCCTTCCTTCCTTCCTTCCTTCCTTCCTTCCTTCCTTCCTTCCTTCTTGCCACAGGTGTTGTGTGAATGCAGCCCAAGGACATAAGAGTCGAGACAGGGCAAAAGGAGCTTCTTTCTAACAGATAATCAGGGTTGGAAGGGACCTAAAAGGTCATCTGTCCAACCCCCAAATAACTAAGTCCTTTGTTACCTGTCCCAGAATCACTTCTTTAAACTCTTTTTTTTTCTTTTTTTGCAGGAAGAACATTTTCTACCCGAAACCAGGAGGGCAGCATCTTCTCAGCAAGGAGTTTGCAGATCCCAGCTCTCCGCTCGTCCGAGTCTTAAATCTTTGCCCCAATCTTACGGCGATGCTTATCAAGAATACAGCGGATTCTCCAGAAGGGACCAACTCAGAAGGAGAACATCAAGGCTGGAAGGCTTTTTGGACTGAAGGAGTGGGTGGGATTTTCTTGGACCCCTGTCAGAAAATCCATTTTTGTGGTTTTTTTTTGCTGGATTTAGCAAAGATACGAGCAGTTTTTGTTTCTTTCCCATTCTTTAGCATGTCTGGTAAACCCAGGGGTTGAAATTAAAATGTCAGGATTAAGCTTTCGTCCTTCATTTCCGTTTTCCTCCCTCTCTTCCTCCCTTCCCATTTCCTTCCTTCCTTTCCTATTTTCCTTCTTCCCTTCCTTCCTCCTTCCCCTTCCATCTCCTCCCTCCCTTTTGCTTCCTCCCTCCCCCCTCTTCCTCCCTCCTCCCTCCCTCTCTTCCTTCCTCCCCCTCTCCTTCCTTCCCATCTCTCCTTCCTTCTTTCCTTCCTCCATCCCTCTCTCCTTCTTCTCTCCCTTCTTCCCCCCTCTCCTTCCTTCCTGTCTCTCCTCCCTCCCTCCCTCCTTCCTTCTTTCCTTCCTCTCTTCCTTCCTCATTTCCTTCCTTCTATATCTTAGCATTTAGGGAAGCTTGTTTCGAAGTTCTATGACATTTTTCTATCCTATTTCTCTGCCAAGAGGGTTCATTCTATATTGCAATGCAATATTTCAAGGCCATTCTCGGAAATGGCTTGGCTTCCGAAAAGGGAGTGCTTGTGTTCACAGTTGAACAAAGGCCTTTAATAAAGGCCCATGTTAAGTTGTGCGTCCTTATAGGAACCAGGGTAACAGCCTCATGGTTTGGTTTTCTTCAGTCAAAGGTTTTTAAGGGTGGTGTGTGTACATTCCAGTCATTCTTTTCTCTCTCTCTCTCTCTCTCCTTGTGTATGTGTGTATACAGATGCACTTGTGTTACAGAGTCCTTACAGGACGAAAATGTTGTTGATGTGAATATGCATTGAAATTTGTACCCTGGTATCAGGGGGCACAATTGAAGCTTTTACACAATAATGAGGAAGAGGAAAATAAATAAATAAAAATACATTTTTCATCCATCTCACTGCATCCAAGTGTCTTCTTCTGAATAGGATAAGCATGGGGGTTGGACTAGAAGACCTCCAAGGTCCCTTCCAACTGTTATTTTGTTTTGAATGGGTGCAAGACTCCTTAGCTGGGTGGAGAATGTAGCCAATTGTGGTTTGATGGAGAAATCACTTAAGCAATCATGGCTTAGAGTGTCGTAAAAACAGCTGTTCTGTCCGGTGCTGTTTATCCTATTTAACACTATACAGAAGCCTGATGATGGCAGATGAGATTCTGCCGAAACGTTGCTACAACTTTAAAAGCACAACTACAATGACGTGGGAAAATACCCGAACAAAGCTGAATGCCATACACACACACACACACACACACACACACATATTGTATGTGTGACTTCCACGGTTTTTATTTATTTGCATGGAAAAAACACAATTAAAAAAAACTTTGCGTGAAGTGTTTTTATTCCTGGGCATTTTTAATTTTAATTCTAAGTCTATTCAGAGATGCAGTAGAGTTGGGTTTATTCCCAGTATATCCCACTAAGACCAGTTCCTTAGGAAGGGGACTTTAAAGGGATCCAGTTTTATTGCATTCATTGAAATCAAGGAGGAAACTAAATAAAATAAAATCAATGGGTCACATTCCCAGGGAAATAAAATTCACCCTTTGCTTGGCCTGGTTTTAATTTGCTTCAAGCCGCTGGACTTCATTGAGGTTCAAAGTGGACCCAATTCCTACTACTGAAGGAGAGCCGTGTGAAAAATCCACATAGAAAAATCAGGAGTCCATTTTATCAAAAGAGCTAAGATTACCATTAAAAAATATATATCACAAATTTTGATTTAAAACAAAAAATAAGCCTCTAGATCTCAATGAGGTCTCCTACCGGGCTTTAAAGGGTTAAAGCTAAAAGCAAGTGGGCGGACCTTCAGGCGGTGGTGGGCGGGGCCACTCGGCGCCCCGCCCACTCGAGGGCAGGGCTGAGCGTCTCCGCCTCTTTTTTTTGCGTTGTTTTCCTTCCCCCCCTTTATATTAACCATGCAAAACGTATGCGCATAAATTTGCATGTCTAACGAGGCCGGCCGCGCAGCGAGTGGGGTCGATGCGTCCAAAATGGCGGAGCGGGCCGGGCGAGGCGGAGGCGGCCGGCTGGACAAGAGCATCACTTTGCCGCCGGACGAGATCTTCCGCAACCTGGAGAACGCCAAGCGCTTCGCCATCGACATCGGTAAGCCCGGCCAAGGCGCCTTCTCCACCCCAACCCCTCCCGGTTCCCTGCCGCCGCCTCCGCCGTTCGCCCTTCTCTTTTCCCTCACTGAGGCGGCGGCGAGAGAAGCGAAGGTTGGGGGGGGGGGCGGCGACAGAGAACGGAGGCGCCGCGCAAGGCACGCCGGGACTTGCAGTCCCGCGCCTCATAGGGATAACCGGCGAGGAGGGCGACGCCGGACGGCAACTCCCGTTGTGCTTTGCGTCGGGCCGGGTGGCGCGGCGCCCGATGGGAGCGTTAGTTTCCGCGCTCGCCCTCGGCCAAGGTTTCGAGCCGGCGA